AGCATTCTGAACCCCACCAACGACAGAATTGGGGCAAATTTCCCACACAGAACTCCCATGACCAACAGAAAATCCTTAAGGCCATCCAATCCAACTCCCTTCACCAGGGCAAGAAAATGTAATCAAAGCCCTCCTGACAAAGAGCCATCCAGCGATAGATATAGATAGATATGATTCACGCATACACAGATATAGTTATCATAGATTTGAAAGGGACCCTTAAAGAAGGACAGCGATATGTTACATGTTCTAGGGGTGGGCAAACCAGACACTCCACATCAACACTGACAAAGAAACAAGAAGTACTGTTTACCCGCAAGCATAAAGACATTACATATATTAGAAACCAACACTTTCTCATTACTTTATTTTCCAGATCAACAGATTGGGCCACAGCAACACGTGGCAGGGCAGCTAGTAAGTTTATATTTGTTAATATTGTTCTTCGTTTTAATTACTGTATTGTTTTTAAGTGTTTTTTACACTACAAATAAGATATGTGCAGCGTGCATAGGAATTCATTCATGTTTTTTTATTTTATTATAATCCGGCCCTCCAACAGTTTGAGGGACTGTACCTGGCCCTCTGTTTAAAAGGTTTGTGGACCTCTGTTTTAAATAAAGTTTTGTAAGGTTAGTGATGATGGGGAAGGAAACGCAGGCCCTATAGTGGGTTTTCTGTGCCTTTCCATAGGTAGCCAGATTGCTCACTGGAGCGGCGTACAGGGAGCATACAACCTCCGTTACGTCAGCTCCACTGGCTGCTAATCTGCTACCGAGCACAATTCAAAGTGTGGGCTTTAGCCTATGAAGCCCTAAACGTTTCTGGCCCAGCCTATCTGTCCAAACATATCTCCCTCGATGAACCACCGGGGAGTTTAAGATCAACTGAGGAGGCCCTGCTCTCGGTCCTGCTTCCCTCGCAGGCGCGATTGACGGAGATGAGAGACAGGGCCTTCTCAGTGGTGGCCCCTTGGCTGTGGAACTCCCTCCCCAAGGATATTGGGGAAGGTCCCTCTTGACCTTCCACAAGAGAATGAAAACATGGCTTTGTGACCAAGCCTTTAGAGAACTTGTGCAATTGACAGACTTGGAACAATATGCAATGACCATTGCAACGGCCCAGATTACGCTAGTGGATTACGGTGTTTAACTCTGAATGTATTGTTTTAAAATGTTTTAATTGTTTTTAATACATCTTTTAATTCTGTTTTAATATTCATTTAAGTGTACATTGTATTTTAAGGCATCGAATTGTTGCTTGTATGTAAAGCTGCCTTGACTCCCCTCCGGGGTGAGAAAAACAAGGTAGAAATCCATATATATATATAAACACTCTGTTTGTTTGTTGGACGTTAGAAGCAACAAAACTACTGGACCGAATATCACCAAATTTGGCAGCAAAACACATACTAATCTAATCTATGTCCTTAAAACAAAAAAACCTTTAAAAATGAAGGGGAAATAACTTAAAACTCTCCAAAAAGAAAAATACCTTACAGAGCATGTGCAAAAACCCCCTTCCCCAGCGCATGAGAAGAATAACACACCAACCATTGTGAGGGAAGAGAAGCCTAGCTATGGAGTCCCTTTCCATGCATGAAGGCAGATTCCTCTTTCTTTTGGGGAGGGGAGGGATTGAGGAAAGGAAAGAGGGAAGGAAGGAGAAGGCCTGGGATGGAGGGCGTGGAGGCTTGGCAGCTGGAGCAACCACAGTGGCTCCATGAGGCCCAAGTGGCCACCAGGCAACCCTCCCCACAAGGCTGGAGGATTGCAAGACAACCCTGGCTGCATGAGCGGTCCGTCCTCCCCACCTGTTGGGTGAAGGGAGGATGCAAACCATGGGAAGACCAAAAACACCCCCACTTGGGCTCCACATCCCCCCTTCCATCCCCACACAAAAAAACCCTTACAAACTGCCTGGAAGGAAGGGAGGAAGGAAGGGAAAGGAGAGAAGAAAGGAAGAAAGGAATTGGTGAAGAGAAGAATATGAATGGAAGGAAAGCTAGAAGAAAGAGGCAGGGATGGGAGAGGAAAGGTAGGTAGGTAGGTAGGAAGGAAGGAAGGAAGGAAGGAAGGAAGGAAGGAAGGAAGGAAGGGAGGGAGGGGGAGACTGGTGAAGGGAAGAGAAGAATATGATGGGAAGGAAAAGGAGAAGGAAGGAAGGATGAAGGAAGGAAGGAAAGGAAAGAAAGGGAAAGGAGAGAAGAAAGGAAGGAAAGTATTGGTGAAGAGAAGAATATGAATGGAAGGAAAAGAAGGAAAACAAGAGGAAGGAAGGGAAGGAGGCAGGGATGGAAAAGGAAAGGAATGGAAGAGGAAGGGAAGGAACAAAGAAAGAAAGAAAGAAAGAAAGAAAGAAAGAAAGAAAGAAAGGGGAAAACTGGTGAAGGAAAGAGAAGAACATAGAATCAGAGTCCTAGAGACCTGGTGGGCCATAAAGGCCAGCCCCATTCTGTCAAGAAGCAGGAAAATCACATTCAAAGCACCCCCGACAGATGGCCACCCAGCCTCTGTTTCCAAGAGGCTTTTTGGAGTGTTTTGGCCAGCATGAATATCACTTGCAGCTTCAAACCCTGGCAGCTTCTCATTGCTTTATTTTCCATACCACCAGACTACCCCAGGATTCTATTATTATTAAAGAGTCTAAATGACCATATATCTGGAGTGTTTTATGTTTCTCCCTTATGCCAGAGGGAGGTTGGACTGGATGACCCTTGGAGGTCTCCCTACTCTAGGATTCTATTATTATTATTATTATTATTATTATTATTATTATTATTAAGCAGAGTCTCCATGGCCATCTGTTAGAGGAGTGCTTGGATTGTGTTTTTCGCTTATGGCAGAGGGAGGCTGGACTGGATGGCCCTTGGAGGTCTACTGCAACACTAGGATCCTATTARTGTGAATTCCTCCCAAACCCCTCCAGTATTTTCTGCTGGTCATGGAGGTTCTGTGTGCCAAATMTGGTTCAGATCTCTCATTCATGGGGGTCTRAGTGGTCTGTGGAAATCAGAGCTGAATCAGTTGAAGGTACTCAAAATCCCACCATCTGTTGTTCATACTCCCCCAAAGATATTGTTTTTGTGATRAATTAGTATGCTTTAATTATGTTCAATTTATAACAACAGAAATACATCTTGCATATCAGATATTTACATTACTATTCAGAACAGTAGCAAAATTACAGSTAGGAAGTAGCAACGAAWATAGTATTATGGTTGGGGGTTACCACAACATGAGGTATTGTATTACGGGGTCGTGGCATTAAAAAAGTTTAGAACCACTGCTAAAGACATTCTATAAAAATAAAAATATACTGTCCATTTATGGGGACCTCCTATCTCCCAAACCTAGAGAGAATACAATTCGCTTCTGGAGTGAGACAATACGCCATCTCCAAGGATGTTCCCCATGCATCAAACAGATGTTTTACCATTCTGTGAGAGGCTTCTATTTATAGATATGTAAAAAGTCCAGGGTGGGGAAAAGAAATTATTTCTACTTGAGCCAAGTGTGAATGCTGCACTTGCCCACCTGGATTACCTTTGAATAACCTTGCACCTTAAAAGCCTGGCTTCTACCTTTGGTGGGAGGAGTTCCCTAGCCCAGATTGTTTCATGTCTTCATCTCCGTTTTCAACGCGTGGCTGGGTACAGCTAGTGTCTTAAATAAAATAATTTCCCAGCCACGTCAGCTGGTGCGAGGAACCGGGAAGTGGTTTGAATTTAGTGGCGGGAAACAGGCAAAGACAGAGAAAGTAGGTGGAAAGCTTGGGTTTTCTGTTTAATTACATGTATAAAGTTTGGGAACTGGTTGTGGGATTCTTCGTGGGCTTATTGGCTGCTGCTGGGTCCACTCAGCTGAAGGCAGCTGCCTCTGACTCAATTGGTGCCTGGTGAAACCTGCGGAACTCCCTGCTGCAGGTCGCAGTTGTATTATTTCATCAATAAAAGGGGGGGAGGTCGTTTTGGGCTCGATAACACTCTTATATACTATTATTGCTAATATTTTATTTTTATTACTAATCTATTATATTTCATATTATATTATAGGCCTCTAATAATAATGATAAATGAATTACTTAATTGCTTAATTAATAATACAAAACCTGAGACGTGCCCCCGCCTCCCCCTCCCTTCTCTCCGGGCCCAGCCCCCTCTTCCCTTCTCCTCCTCCGCCATGTAGGACCGGAGCTGCCCCTGCTGGGAGGGAGGGCGGGGCTAAACGGGGTGGGCGGGACCTTCCCTCCCAGCGAGGGCGTGGTCTCTCCCTCTCCTTTCCCTTCGCCATGTCGGCCTAGGGGCGGGGCCAAGCCTGGTGGGCAGAGCCTCGCCTGTTCTTCCACCCCCCAGGGGGGCGTGGCTTCTCCTGGTCCACCTCCCTCTTAGGTGATCTAGGGGCGGGACTAGGCCTGGAGGGCGGGGCCTTGTCTGCCCTCCTTTCTTGCCCCGCCCCTATCTAATTCTCCTCCTCTATGGTGGTCTGGGGCGGGGCTAGTCCTGGTGGGCGGGGCCTCACCTAGGCTTCCTTCTCAGGCGGGGCGTGGTCTCTCACAACCCCGCCCCACTCTTCCTCTCCGCCTCTCCCTTCGTCATGTCGGCCTAGGGGCGGGGCCTCGCCTGCCCCTGCCCCCGTTTCTTGTTCCAGCCGGGGCGTGGCCTATCCCAGCCCCTCCCTCCTTCTCCTCTTCCGTCATGTTCGGCCGTAGCTGCCTCTGAGGGAAGGGCGGGAGATAAAAGCGGAACTAGGTCTGGTGGGCGTGGCCTCTCCCAGCCCCGCCCCTACCTCATTCTCCTCCACCATATCCTCGACCCGTTCCTCTTACTCGTCCAAGGTGGTTTAATAGCGGGGCGGGGCCTGGGGGGCGGGGCCTCGCCTGCCCCTGCCACCTTGTTCTAACGGGGGCGTGGCTTCTTCGAGCCCCGCCCCCCACCGCCTTCTCCGCCATGTCGGTCTGGATCTGGTGGGCGTAGCCTCGCTTGCTCTTCCTTGTCCCGGCGGGGGCGTATCCTCTCCCGGCTCCTCCCTCCCTCCTCCTCCCTCTCCTGCTCCGCCATGTTGGGCCGGAGCCGTTTCTGAGAGAGAGAGAGAGGAAGACGTCTGAAAGAGCAAAGGAAGGAAGGAAGGAAGGAAGGAAGGAAGGAGAGAAGAAAGGAAGAGCTTCGGCGGGCATGGCTCCGGAGAGTGAGTCGAGTCGGGGGAGGGAAAGGCAGGGAAGAAGGAGAAGGAGGAGAAGATGAAGGCCAAGGAAGGCCCAGGGGAAGGGGGGAGGGAGGGAGGGAGGGAGCCCGGAATGCTGGGAGTTGTAGTCCGTGGCCGGCCGTGCCCTGCCCTGCCTAATGGCTGACTCTGCGATCTATATAGGAATATGATGTATAATAGTAATAGTAATAATAATAATAATAATGTTACAATGTAATATAATACAAATGTTACAATATAATAATAATTATACAATTAGTTTTGTTTATTACAATAAAATAAATATTAAATAAATATAAAATTAAAATATAACAATAATAATACAATATAATAATAGTATTGCAATGCAATACTGTTTAATAATAATGATGTTATAGTCCTGTATTATTATTATATTATATATAATAATGTATATCTCTGTTATCATATATATTTTTATTTTATATTGTTATTTCATAATACGACTTTCTATTCTATGACACTATAATTTCTAATATTATTTTTATATATTCCTGTTATTTTATATTTATCATCATAATCATCATCATTATTATAGGATATTATAGTTCCCACTTGTATTATAATTGTATAATTATTTTAGTTTTGTTATTATTATATATTGCATTATAGAATATAGGATATTATAATTTCCATTATTATTTTAAAGTTTTGTATTGTATGATACTTTAATTTTATTATTATAATATATTATTAAGGTGTTTTTTTATTTATATTATTATTTATATTATATGACATTCCTATTATTATAATTATATATTATTTATATAATATTATATTTTATGTTCTATTATATACTATAATTCCCACTATTATTTGTATATACTGTAGTGTTATTATTATTAATTATTATTTTATAGGATATTATAATTATTATAATTATTATTTTATATTATTAATATTTCTATTATATGATTCTATAATTCCCATTATTAATATAATTATTTTTCTATGTTATTTTTATTTTATTTTAGTATAGTATTATTTTTCATTTTTCTTTTATCTTACACTATAATTCCCATTATAATTTTTATATATTGTTATTATTTTATTTCTTTATTATAGTATATTATAATCTACATTATTATATTTTATATTTTACTTTTATTATATTATTATTTAATATTTCTATTTTAATATAGTATATTATAATTTCTATAATTATTAATATTATTGTTATGATTTTATTATATTTTTATTTCTGTTAATATTTCATATTTTATATTCTTTTATTTTTTTGTTATATGATATTCTTGTTGTAGGTCTTTCTACGACTGCCAGCACTTGAAAAGAAGGCCTGCCCGTGGCTGCCCACCATGGTAAGCCTTTGAGAATGAATTAATAAAGGAGGGAAGGCCCCTCTAGGATTCTCTGGGTGGTGGGGACTCCCTTGGAAATGAGGGGCTTCCTTCCTGTGCAAGGATAGCCATAGAGCCGCTCTTAAAGGGCCAGCGTCTTTTGCAGGAGGAAGAGAGGGTGGCAGCACAGCAGCAGCAGCAGCAACAGGCCAATCAGACCTTTCCCAGGAAGCAGCTCATCCGCGAAGATGACAATCTCCAGGTAAATTATCATATTTATATATAATAATAAATATATTATTATCATCTATCTTCTATCTATGTATATAATAAAAGTCAAAACTGCCCGGGTTATTAGAGAAAGGAATTGTATATCAAGGTTGGTCTTTATCAGTTATTTATATGGCTCGCAGTGGTCTCAGGAAGTTAGTGAAGGTACTGTGAGTCCCATCATCTGTGGTCCATCGTCCTCCAAACTGCACCAGGATGGAGAGAGGGTCATGGGGGCTCAGTGTGCTAAGTTTGGTCTTGATCAGTCATTGGATGAGGGTCACAGCAGTCTCAGAAAGTGAGTTAAGGTACTGCAAGTTCCATCATCCATAGTCTCCCTCAAACATCACCAGAATGTTGAGTTGGCCATGGGGGCTCTCTGTGCCAAGTTTGGTATTTGGATGAATGTCACTGGTTTTAGGAAGTGAGTGAAGGTACTGCAAGTCCCATCATCCATTGTCCGTCCTCCTCCAAACAGCACCAGGATGTAGAGTCTCTCATGGGGGCTCTGTGTGCCAAGTTTGGTCTTGATTGGTCATTAGATGAGGGTTGCAGCAGTCTTGGGAAGTGAGTGGAGGTACTTGAAATCCCATCATCCATAGTCTGTTCTCCCCCAAACCTCACCAGAATGTTGAGTTGGCCATGGGGGTTCTGTGTGCCAAGTTTGGTCTTCATCAGTCATTCGATGAGGGTATCAGTAGTTTCACTAAGTGAGTGAAGGAACTGCAAGCCCCATCGTCCATGGTGCATCATCCTCCAAACCGCACCAGGATGTAGAGTGCATCATGGAGACCCGGTGAGCCAAGTTTGGTCCTTATCGGAAATTGGATGATGGTTGCAGTGGTCTCAGGAATTGAGCGAAGATACTGCAAGTCCCATAATCCATGCTCTATCCACAGTCAAACCACACCATGGCGTAAAGTGGGTCATGAGAGGTCTATGTGTCAAGTTTGGTGTTGTTCAGTCATTGTTGAGGGTCGCAGCAGTCTTGGAACGCGAGTAGAGGTACTTCAAGTCCCATCATCCATGGTATGCCCTACTCCAAACCGCCGATGTAGAGTGGGTCATGGGGGCTCTGTGTGCCAAGTTTGGTTTTGTTCGGACATTAGATGAGGGTTGCAGCAGTCTTGGGAAGAGTGGAGGTACTTGAAGTCCTATCATCCATGGTCTGTCCTCCTCGAAAGTACACCAGGATGTAGAGTGGGTCATGGGGACTCTGTGTGCCAAGTTTGGTCTTGATCAGTCATTGGCAAGGGTCTCAGTGGTCTCAGGAAGTGAGTGAAGTGACTGCAAGTCCCATCATCCATTGTCAAATTCTTCCAAACCGCACCAGGATGTAGAGTGGGTTATGCGGGCTCTATGTGTAAATTGTGGTCCTGATCCATCATTGTTGGCAGTTATAATTGTTTTAGGAAGGGAGTGCAGGTATTGCAAGTCCCATCATCCATGGTGCATCCTCCAAACTGCACCAGGATGTAGAGTGCATCATGGAGACTCAGTGTGCCAAGTTTGGTCTTTATCGGTAATTGGATGAGGGTTGCAGTGGTCTCAAGAATTGAGCAAAGGTACTGCAAGTCCCATAATCCATGGTCCATCCCCCGCCAAACCACACCAGGACGTAAAGTGGGTCATGAGAGGTCTATGTGCCAAGTTTGGTCCTGATCAGTCATTGGATGAGGTTAACTGCGGTCTCAGAATGTGAGTGATGGCACTGCAAGTCCCATCATCCATGGTTCATCCTCCTCCAAACTGTAGTAGGATGTCGAGTGGGTCATGGGGGCTTTGTGTGCCAAGTCTGGTCTGTATTGGTAATTGTCTGACTCAGCCCCTGGCCTTTTCCTTTCCTCTCTTTGTCATCTCGGAATCTTGGAATTGAGGCTGGCCAATCAGAGACCATATGCAAATTTGCTTCTCATGTCCCCGTTTCTGCCCTGAACTCTTTTCTCCACCAGGGGCTCCTATTGAAGCTGGCCAATCAGAGACCATATGCAAATAGCACCACTGCGGCAGCCAATCAGAATGTTGGAACTTTCAGGCTGGCCAATCAAAATGCTGGCACATACACCGCCACACTTTTGTCCTCCGCATACAAGTTTTGACTTTTATTATATACATAGATTGGGTACACTCATATTATTGTTGATAATCTATTTATTTTTATTTAAATTATTAAATTTATTGGTTTCACTTATTTGTTATTAGTATAATATATAAATTTATTTAAAATATATAATTGATTGTTTTTAATGGCACTTCTATGAATGCCTGACATCGAATTGTGCCAATCTGTAACCCGCCTTGAGTCGCCGTATGGCTGAGAAAGGCGGGATATAAATATCGTAAATAAATAAATAATATTATATTATTTTATTTATTGGGTACAGTATTATATGTTATTACTAGCCTGGGTACTCAGTGTTGCCCGGGTTTTTGTTTTTTTTTAAAAAGGCATTGTTTGTTTTGGGGTGTTAGGGGTGTTTGGTAGTACCATTTAGTTAATTAGTAATAATTCTAACTATTAGAAAAAAGCCAGTCTTTGATTTGGTTTTGCATGAATGCTCTCATTGGAAAATACATAACAATACAGGTGAAGGCTGGCTTCAGTGCTCTCTGGATAATGGTGAACTACAACTCCCATATGCCAATGGCAGTCATTCCCAAACCATTCCAGTATTTACAGTTGGCAATTTTGGGTTTATGTGTCAAGTTTAGTCAAAATCCAATGTTGGCTGGGTTCGATACTCTCTGGATGCAGGTAAATCCTCTTGTGAGGGTTTTCCCAGAGGAGATTAGAAAGGAGATACCTCAATAGTTTCCAACGTTGTTCTTTCCCCTTTTTTGAAAAGGGTGATGATGGTGGCATCCTTGAAGTCTGCTGGGATTTTTCTGGTCACCCATACTTTTTCAGTGAACTGGTGGAGTTGTTGTGTCAGCTCAGGTCCCCTCTCTTTAAAGACTTCAGCAGGGATCCTATCAGGACTGCTGGCTTTGTTGGCTGATGTGTTGCAGACTTCCTCCAAACTAGGCAGTGCTGCAAGCTCATCCTTGGTTTGTTGTTGTGGGGTTTGTAAGAGAACCTCTTCGACCATGTTGGAGCTGTGATTCAGGAGATTGTTGTAGTGCTCTTTCCAACGTAGTGCGATTTTTTTTGTCCTTCAGAAGTTTGGTTCCATCTGATGAGCGTAGAGGATGTATACTATGATTTCTTGGTCCGTAGATGACCTTTGTGGCTTTAAAAATCCATGAGCATCATGGGTATCTGCAAAGTGTTGGATTTCTTCAGCCTTTTTTGTCTGTGATGTTTTTGAGGTCTCTGATCCTTCTCTGGACCTCAGCTTTTGCACTAGCATAGATCCTTTTCTTAGCAGCTCAATTGGTGTCTCTCTGCCATGTTGGGAAGGCTTTCCTTTTCTTATCAATTAACTGTTGCATCTCTTTGTCATTTTTGTCAAACCAGTCTTGATGTTTCTTAGTTGATATCCAATGGTTTTGTTACAGGCTATGATGATGGAGGTCTTCAGTTTGTTCCAAAGTTCCTCAACATTTTTTGTGTGTTCTATAGGTAGATGATCCTTGAGTTATGTTTGGAGAAGGGCTCGTTTGGAGGGTTCCTGAAAGGCTTGGGTGTTCATTTTGCGTCTTATCTTTCTTCCTTGGAATCTGCATTTGGGGGCGATCTTGGTAGCCACCGTGGATCGGATTAAACTGTGGTCTGTCCAGCAGTCATCAGAGCCTGTCGTGGCTCTTGTGAGAAGCACGTTGCAGCAGTCTCTGGCACGTGTAATAAGATAGTCTAAGAGGTGCCAGTGCTTTGACTGGAGGTGCTTCCATGATGTCTTGAGCTTGTTTTTCTGGTGGGAAGAGCATGTTGGTGATGACAAGATTGTGTTCTGTATGTTTGGTGAGAAGCAGGATGCCATCGAGTTTCAGTTTCCAACCTCGTCTTTTCCTATAGTCCCTGGCCACAGGCCGAAGTCTTGTCCAACTCTTGCATTAAAATCCCCCAGAAGGATGGTTTTGTCCTTCTTAGGTATCTCCGATAGGACGGTGTTCGACTGACAGTAAAAAAATTCCTTGATGTCTTCATCAGCATCTGATGTAGGTGTATAGGCACTTATGATGGTTGTCTGTTGGTTTTTGGCAAGGTTAATTTGCAAGAATCCTTGCAAACCGCCTTCTACCTGTCTCAGCAGACACCCAGAATCCCATTACGGCTTCCGCCCCTCCAGAGGAACAGTGGATATGATCTTCATTGCACAACAGCTCCAAGAAAAATGCAGGGAACAAACCTCTGTACATGGCATTCATTGCCCTTGCAAAGGCATTGGACACAGTGAATTAAAGTGCTCTCTGGACCATCCTCAAAAAAATCTGTTGCCCTGACAAATTTGTGAACATCCTGCGGCTCTTCCATAATGACATGATGGCAACAGTCTTAGACAGCAGTGGCTCCCAAAGTGACCCATTTAAGGTGGATTCAAGTGTTATACAGGGCTGTGTTATTGCCCCAACCTTATTTTCCATATTAATTGCTGTGATACTTCATCTTGTTGATGGGAAGCTTCCCACCAGAGTGGAAATCATCTGTCAGACAGATGGCAAGCTATTTAACCTCAGCAGACTGAAAGCCAAAACCAAGGACATAACAACATCTGTTATAGAACTCCAGTATGGTGATGATAACATAGTCTGTGTGCATTCAGAAGAAGACCTATAATCCACTCTAAACACCTTTGCAGAAGCATACGAGATGCTTGGCCTCTCATCAAACATCAAACATCGAGAAAACCAAAGTTCTCATCCAGCAGTCGCCTGCCAATCCCTCTGCAAGGCCAGAAATACAGCTTAATGGTGTAACATTAGAAAATGTTGACAATTTCTGCGACCTTGATAGCCACCTCTCCACAAAACTTAACAATGACACCGAAATACAGCACTGTCTGAGCTCTGTGAGTGAAGCATTTTTCCAAATGAAGCAGAGAGTGTTTGAGGATCAAGACATCAGTAGAGATACCAAGGTACTTGTTTATAAAGCTATTGTCCTCCTAACCCTGCTATACACCTGCGAAATGTGGAGTGTTTACAGACGTCACATTCAACTTCTGGAACGATTCCATCAGCGTTGCCTCTGAAAAATCTTGCAAATCTCTTGGGAAGACAGGTGGACAAATGTCAGCGTTGTGGAAAAAGCAAAGGCCACCAGCATTGAAGTGATGCTCCTACACCATCAACTCCACTGGACTGGCCACATTGTCCAAATGCCCAATCACTGTCTCCCAAAGTAGTTACTATACTCCCAACTCAAGAACGGAAAACGTAATGTTGGTGGACAGGAAAAGAGATTTAAATATGGCCTAAAGCCAACCTTAGAAACTGTGGCATAGACACCGAGACCTGGGAAGACCTGGCCCTTGAGAGCTTTAACTGGAGGTCAGCTCTGAACAGCAGTGCTGAGAATTCGAGGAGGCACGAATGGAGGCGCATCAAGCCAACCCTGACCGGGTCCACCTTCCACCTGGAAGCTGCGTACTTGATGCTCAGGTGTTGGCGATGGCGGGGAGGGCCTTCCCACAGTTAAAGCTTGTGTGCCAGCTGCAACTGTACCTCGAGAAGCCTGATGTGGCCATGGTGGTCCATGCCTCGGTTATATCCAGATCGGATTACTGCAATGCACTCTACGTGGGGCTGCCTTTGAAGACAGCTCAGAAGCTGCAGTTAGTGCAAAGATCAGCGGCCAGATTACTCCTATAAAGCCCTAAATGGTTCGGGCCTGCCTTTCTTTGTGATCGCATCTCCCCCTATGAATCAGTGCAGGCTCTAAAATCCACCGGGGAGGCCCTCCTCTTGCTTCCACCACTGTCACAAGCATGGCTGATGGGGATGAAGGAGAGGGCCTTCTCGGTGATGGCCCCCCAACTTTGGAACACCCTGAGGAGATTAGGCAAGCCCCCACACTGTCCTCCTTCTATAGGGATCTGAATACTTAGATATTCCAGCAATCATTTGGAAGCAGCTATTCCCTAGTTATACAGTGTTATGACCTCTCTGTCATGCCATCCAATTAAGTCCTGACATAGAACACATGCCCTTTGGCCAAAAGGGAAGACAGGATGCTGCAAGGACATGTGAACCGGTCATAAGAGTCAGTTGGCCTGAGGTAGGAGGGTCTGGTATGTGGGAAAGGCACCAGGGCCTTTTGGGTGATTTATTTTGTTATAGCTTAGACCCTATATACATGAGCAGATTTGTTAAATGCTTGTATTCTGAACAATAAAGATGCATGGTAACTTTAGCCGCTGTGTATCTTATCATTACATACATGCCCAGTCCCTAAGTCACCAGATAGTATTCTGTTTTGCACTTCATCCACTTCCCCGGCCCTATGGTATGCTCCTTTGCACTATCCCTTGCCCAGCCCTTTTATAGCTTGGTCATGCCCATTTTAGAAATCTTTGTCATTGTTTTCATCAAACCTGTTCTGATGGAGCTCCAATGCAATCTGTTTCTATTCTGTTACGTCTATTTTGTTTTATCTCAGCTGTTGTATTTTATGATGCTTTTATTTTAATATATTTTGTTTTATGAGTTGTTTTTGACTCTATGTCTTGTGGACACTGTCCCATCTGTAAGTTGCTCCGAGTCCCTTCAGGGAGATGGTGGTGGGGGTATAAGAATAAAGGGCCAGGCTTTAGCATGGCCGGTTAATCACCAGCAGCAATACATCTTACCAACTGGAATGTTGGCAGTTCGAAGCCCAGGTCGTGGTGAGCACCCAACCTTCAACCCAGCTTACTGTCCAGCTAAGCAGTTTGAAAACAACTGTGAGCTGTGAGTAGAGAAATTAGGCACTGCTTAAGCGGGGAGGTAGTTTATGGCACCATAGAAAGGAAATACCAGAAAATGTCTGATCAAAGGAAGGAGGAAGTCTGTGATCAAGGGTTCTTCGTCATAGAGGATGGAGTGACAGCACAACCTCCAGGACACCGAATTTGGGGGAAAATGCTGACATAATACCTCTGTCTGTTGTCTGTTCTGTCTGTTTATTTGCATTGAATGTTTGCCATGTATGTATTCTGTGATCCGCCCAGAGTGAGAAGGGCGGAATATAAATGCTGTAAATAAATAAACATTATTTTTCCCTCCTTGCCTGCCCACCTGCAGGTGCCATTCCTGGAGCTGCATGGAGAGAGCACGGAGTTTGTTGGCCGTGCAGAGGAGGCTGTCATTGCGCTCTCCAACTACCGCCTACACATCAAGTTCAAGGAGTCCCTGGTCAATGTAAATATTATTTCTATTCACAACTTTGATGCTGTAACTAAAAGAGCTTCATTCATACCAATAATGTATCTTGCCTGTGGGAGGGAAGATAGGTGGCTTGATAATATTTAAACTATTATTATTTTTATATTATATTATAAATTTAGAAATATATTATAATGAATTAAATTTATCTTAATAGAGAAATATATACATATTATATCATAATAAATTAACTTTATTATAATTTGTAGAAATATATAATATAAATTTAGATATAGATTTAGATATATAATTTATATTGTATATAAATACAGTATGATACCCTAACCCTTATATTATAAATTTAGGATTATAATAAATTTATTTTCATACTAGCTTGGGTACCCAGCATTGCCCAGGTTATTTGAAAAAGTCTAGTATGAAAATGTCCCCATATGAAAGCCTTCGCTTGCATGGTTTGCAGTATGGTATTTGTGGAGGACATTGTCTCTTGAGTAGTGAGAGTTATAGCTGTTTGGAGGCAGGAGCCTGTTTGTGTAAGTGGACATCCCAACCACACACACACATGAATATTTTCACTTTTATTATGTGTATAGATTATATTATAAATTTAGTAATGTATTATAATAAAATAAAAATATAGAAATATAACATTTAAACTATTATTAATATTTTAATATTTATATTATATTATACATTTGGAAATATATTATAATAAATTATATTTATAATATAAATAAATATATTATAATAAATTAAATGTATTGTAATATATAGAAAAATATTATAATAAATGCATTTTATTTTAATATACAGAAATATACTACATTAAATGTATTCTAATGAATAGAAATATAATTATTTAAATTTCTTATAAGAGATATAGAAATATATTACATTGTTATTGTTGTTATATTTTAAATAATATTATGATTATTTATCACAGATTCCATTGCAGCTGATTGAGAGCGTTGAGTGCCGGGACATCTTCCAGCTTCACTTGGTCTGCAAAGATTGCAAGATCATCAGGTATTATTAACATAACAACAACAACAACAACAATAATAATGTGATTTATGGAGAATAAATATATTAACAATAATGTGGATTATGGGAATGATAATAATAGAGATACATAATAGGTAGATGGATAATGGGTCAATTTATGGAGAATAATTATAATAGTTTCATTGTAATATATTATAATATATAAATAATAATATATTAAAATAATAGATACATGATGGGTAGCTGGAGAATGGGTCAATTTAAGGAGAATAATGACTTGTTATTGCTTATATAATATGTCAATGTTTTAAAATGTTTTTATGATGTTGGGCATTGAATTGTTACCTTGTGAACCGCCTCAAGTTGCCTGTGGGCCGAGAGGGGCAGTATATAAATATAGCAAATATATAAATAATGATAGTAATAGTATTATGATACCATATTATAATATAATATAATAATACCTAATAATAAAATAATAACAAATATAAATAATACCAAATAATAATAGTAAATAAATAAAAATTAAATAGTAATAATATCAAACAATAAAAATAAATAGTAATAGTAATAAATAAAATAACAGCAAATAATAATAAAAAAATAAAGTAATGCCCTTTGGATGGCCTTTGGAAGGTCTTATGGCTTTGGAGAGAAGGACATCTTCTTACGACTACAGAAAGGCAATAATAGATAGAGTTACATGATAGGTAGATGTTTGATGAGTCGGTTGATGGAGAATGATGATGCTCGCCTCAACCCCCGGGGTTGCAGGTGCCACTTCTGCAGCCTGGAGCAGAGCCAGGAGTGGCAGCGGCGCCTGGTGATGGCGACAGGCCCACCCTCGCGACTGGAGGGTCTCTTCTCATTCGCCTTCCATGCCTGGTGCACACACGTCTATGCTAGCGAGAAGGAGACCCACGGGGAACTCTGTCGGCCTGGTAGGTGGAAGGGTGTGAGGGACGGAGGAAGGAAAATAATAATAATAATTATTATTATTATTACTGTAATATAATCGTGTGGTGTATGAGAATAATAATAATAACACCTGATATATAATTTTTTTCCCGCACCTGGGCTCCCTTTATTGATCTTTCAGTCTCTGAGAACAACAGAACTGTCTCTGCTTCATACCTGTTACACCCTAGCCCTGAGACACCTCTCACTCAGCACCACACCAAAGCCCAATAGTCCCAAGTAATGAAGATTTTATTGAATTAAGAATATAAAGGGGAGGGGGAGGGTTATATCCAAAATTAGCAATCAGGAAATAACTCTAGTTTAAGCTCAGCCAGGCTCCCATGAAGCCATGTCTCAGACACCTGGATTTTAAGGCTTATCTTAAGGATGCTGGGAAGTCCTGGTTGGTCTACTTTTCACGCCTTGCTTTCTGAGATTTAATCTATACTCCCTGGTGACCTCTTTGCCCTCCAGTTTCACTTTCCCTGGAATGCACAGCATTGGGTCAGACTAACCTGTCTGCTGCAAACCTCCCTGAATGCTCACAGAATGTCCCTGCACACATTCAGACACTTGGTTTTGAACCTCTTCATCTTCAGAATTGTCTGGCTCTTGCCAGGCTATAACACTGGCCAGAAATAGCTGCAGTCAATCCCCAGCCAACACTTCCTTTCCATTCCCTCGATTCTAGATGCCAGTAGGCAGTTCTTTCAGTCCAAACCCTCCTGCCCCCCCCCCCCATGCGGTGGGCCAGGCAGGGCACCCCATGAGGGCTTGGTCCACCAAGTGCAAAGTGGCCATCTTGGGAGGGTGCCTCACTCACTTCCTGTCACTCTCCTCTCGGCCCCAGGGGAGCACGTGACCTCGCGGTTCAAGAACGAAGCTGAGCGCATGGGCTTTGACTTGAACCATGCCTGGAGGATCTCCAACATCAATGAGAAATACAGGTGAGAGAGTGAGGGGGGGGGTGAGGGCCGCCATCTTGGATGGAGAGTGTCCAAGATGGCCACCGACAATCCCTTTCCTCCTTCCCTTGCAGGCTGTGCAGCAGCTACCCTCAGGAGCTGATCGTTCCGGCCTGGATCTCGGACAAGGAGCTGGAGAGCGTGGCTGGCTTCCGCTCCTGGAAGCGTATCCCTGCTGTGGTTTACAGGTGAGAGGGAGAAGGCACTCACTGGCCACCAGCACGGCATAGAGCTGTGCTGGAGGACTGTCAGGATCCAGGGCAGAGGTTAACCAAACAACACCCAGCTTGTGTCAAAGCTATTGACTTAAAGCAGCACTTAGTCATTTGGCTGTTTCAAGGTCCAAGTTCAAAACATGACCTTCCTGAGAAGAGTTAAAAACTTGCTTGAGTCAACCTTTTCCTTAGTGGTCAATATCCACTAGCATTCATGCAAGGCAGTTAGGCTTCTCAGCTGTTAAACTGAGATCCCTAGATATCTCTTTGAACTGTTAGGAACAAATGCCAATGCACAAAAAACATATATAGCAGAGTTTCAGAAGTGTTCTTTTCAGTTGCCCAAAACATTTACTCTCCCTTAAAACATCTTGGTTTAAACCATGCTCTCAAGAGACAAAAATAAGCAGACTTCTTTAAATGTAACATACTTGGTTTACTTACAAACTTCCTGTATTCATCATAGAGGTACTTTGCTTATCAGTCCAATTACAGGTAGGATTTGAAGTGGTTTCTCTGTGCTGATAACACAGGGCATCTTTCTTAGAATCTTGGCAGTCCATAGTCTAAAGCATCTCTCTGGTCTGAGAGTCTCTGTCTTTCCAGTCTGAAAGTGTAAACTGTACTGTTTCTACTGTTGTCTGAAAGCATACTGTTTCTAAAATGGAGTCTGAGTCCTGAACAGTCCCAGATCTGATCACATGATCTGCAGCCCCTCCCACAACATAGAGTTAAGGAAAACTGCATGCCAATACAAACATATGTAATACAGTAAGCAATCTGAATTATATGCATCACAGATAAGTAGTGTAGGAGGCTTGAAGAAGGTTGCTATTACCAACAACCTAGGGATCCATCTGGTCCGCTTCCTGCCCACAGGCACCAGAGCAACGGGGCAGTTATTGCGCGCTGCGGTCAGCCGGAGGTCAGCTGGTGGGGCTGGAGGAACGCTGATGACGAGCACCTGGTCCAGTCGGTGGCCAAGGCCTGCGCCTCTGACGCCCGGGCCAAGATGGCTGACCCGGGAGGAGGAAGAGGAGGGGGCTTCTCCGACGGAGAATTTGGTAAGGCTCTGCGGCGTTTATTGCGCAGGACAGGCATCCTTCATTTCGGTGGGGTTGGGCTCTTACCCTGCAACACATGGAACGACTCCCTGGCCCTGCTTTCTCCAGGCTCCTCCATTCCCCACGCTCCTGGTGCAGAGGGCCTGGCTGCCCAACCCCAGAAGCTCCTCATCCTGGACGCCCGCTCCTACGCTGCTGCTGTCGCCAACCGGGCCAAAGGAGGGGGCTGCGAATGCCCAGGTAACAATCTTAATAATAGACATGTACATATCTTGGTTTGTTCCGCAAAGGCTTCCCTATGGCTGTGACGGATTGGGTCCAGATGTGGCCCACAACATCCCTCGTGGCCCAACTTAAAATAATTGAAGTTTATGGACCGAAAGAAGTCACCCGATTGAGCCTAGACGTGAGGAGAAGGGAAGGAAGGAAGCGGATTGGTGGCGACTGCTGCTGGGTGAAGTTTCCCTCAGTGATGTCACTGGGAAAACAAAGGGAATGAAGCAGATTGGCTGTGGGTGGGTGACATCTTTATGAGGGGAGGGGAGGAAAGATCGAACAAGAAGAAAATGAAAGGAAGGAAGAAAAAGGAGGGAAGAGAAAAGAAAAGGGGAGAAAAAGTGTGGGAAGGAAAGACAGCAGGAAGAGAAAAGAAAGGATGAGGGAGGGAAAGAAAGAAAAAGGAGGAAGGTGGAGTGGGAGGGAGGAGAGGAAAGGAAGAGAAAGAGAAAGGGAGGAAAGGAAGAAAGAAGGGTAAGGTGTATGAGGGAAAATCAAGGTGAAAAGGAAGAAGAGGAAAAGAAGAAAGGGAGAGATGGGGAAGAGAAGGAGAGAAAGGGAAAAAGTAGAAAAGGATGAATGAAGCAAGGTAAGATAAACAAAAGGAAAAGGGAAGGAAATTAAAAATGAAGGGAAGAGAAAGGGAAAGAGGTATCAGGAAGAAAAGAAAGGAAGGCTGTGGAAGGAGAAGGAGGTAATGGAAAAGAGGAGAAAATTTTGGAAGTAATGAATATGGACAAACTAACTCATTGGCTAATGCCAAATCAAGGAATTCCAAAGAAGCATACAAACTGGGACCGATAAAAAGCTACTTTAGACAACGGAAAATAGAGATCACTACTTAGAAAGAGTAAATTGCAGTTAAAGAAGAACCAATAGGAAATCAACGCTCTACAATACACTGAAAAAGACATCAAAGATCTTCAAAGACTAGATGGAAGTCTGTCTATATATATATATATATCATAACATAACAGATTTTTGTCTCAATTTGGACTTCTATTTTCATACCTTTTTTCCTCCTCTTTTTTCTTAAATACACTTTCACTTCTCTTTTTACTTCCTCTCTATATACAAAGATTATGTTCTCCCACTTTTGCTGTTAAAAACTTACTTTTGGTTCTATAAAACTTGCTAATAAAAATATTATTAAAAAAAAAAGAAAGAAGGGAGAGAAAGAAAAGAAAACCTCGTCTCTTCCAGAGTATTACCCCAACTGCGAGGTGGTCTTCATGGGGATGGCCAACATACACTCCATCCGGAAGAGCTTCCAGTCCCTGCGCCTGCTTTGCAGCCAAGTGCCCGACCCAGGAAAGTACGTCACATGCAGTACCCAAACCCCCTTGGGTCCTTCCTTTTTTTCTGCCATGGTGTCATGACGCCATCCTTTCCCCCTCAAGGTTATACGCTGCCGCCTGTCCCCCTTCAAGGCTGCGGTACAGTTTCTTGTTGAAGCTTCCCTTCCCTTGCCCCCATTTGTTCCCCCTGCAGCTGGCTCTCAGCACTGGAAAGTACCAAGTGGCTGCAGCACCTGTCTGTCCTGCTGAAGTCGGCATTGCTGGTGGTCCATGCAGTGGAGAGGGACCGACGGCCAGTGCTGGTGCACTGCTCCGACGGATGGGACCGCACCCCCCAGATCGTGGCCCTGGCCAAGCTGCTCCTTGATCCCTATTATAGGACCATCGAGGTGAGGGGCTGGAGATGGAAGGAAAAAGAGCTGGAGAAGGGAGGAAGCAGGCCTTAGAACTGGAGAAGGGCGGAAGTAGAGCTGGAGAAGGGAGGAAGCAGGCCTCAGAGCTGGAGAAGGGAGTAGGGTTGGCGAAGGGAAGAAGCAGATCTCAGAGCTGGAGAAGGGAGGAAATAGAGCCGGAGAAGGGAGGAAGCAGGCCTTGAAACTGGAGAAGGGTGGAAACAGAGCTGGAGAAGGGAAAAGGTTTCTGATAGCTGGGGAGAAGGTAGATCTCAAGAGTTGGAGAAGATAGAGCTGAAGAAGGGAGGAAGCAGGCCTCAGAGCTGGAGAAGGGAGACAGTAGGCTCAGTTTTCAGAGCTGGTGCTCTCCCTCCCATCGGCCTTGCAGGGCTTCCAGGTACTGGTGGAGACAGAGTGGCTGGACTTTGGGCACAAGTTTGCCGACCGCTGTGGCCACGGGGAGCAGGCGGACGACCCCAACGAGCGCTGCCCAGTCTTCTTGCAGTGGCTGGACTGTGCCCACCAGCTCCAGAGGCAGTTCCCTTGCTCCTTCGAGTTCAGTGAAGCATTCCTGGTAAGGGGACGCTTGGAGGGAGGGCAGCCCTCTAGTATTAGTATATGGACAAAATTGGGATAATTTCCTCTTTTATTTATTTATTTACGGCATTTATATGCCACCCTTCTCACCCCAAAGAGGACTCAGAGCGGCTTACAAGATATATTTTCATACAATATATTATCGTAGTATAATATTAGTATTTTATATTACTATATTGCACTATACAATTATATTGTAATATTATTAGTAGTATTATATGTAATATAAATGTATAATTATAATATTGTATTATTACTAGCATTGTATTGTATTACATTATAATATTATAAATATTATATATATTACAATATACTATATTATATTATTAGTAAAGACAAGATGGAAATGTCTTCTGCTCCCCTCTGCCTTTGCTCTGGCCAGAGCAGCAGTTGGTGCCGGAGGGGGGGATTACATAGACATTTTGGATCCCTTTCTTTCCTTTTGGGAGACAAACACCCCTTGCTCTTCGTCTGCCACCTTGGATCTCTCCTGACTCCTTCCTTTGACACTTCCTTCCCTCTCAGGTGAAGCTGGTCCAGCACACCTACTCTTGCCTCTTTGGCACATTCCTGTGCAACAACGCCAAGGAGCGCGATGAGAAGCACACCCAGGAGAGGACCTGCTCCGTGTGGTCCCTGCTCCGGCCCGGAAACAAGGCCTTTCAGAATCTGCTCTACTGCTCCCAGTCTGAATCCGTAAGTATGTTCCTGCTCCTCCCTCCATCGGTCGTGGTTCCACGTCCACCGCACAGTTGAGTCCATCACGAGCTTCTCTCTTTCTCTCAGGTGCTGTTCCCGGTGTGCCACGTGCGGAACCTCATGCTCTGGAGCGCCGTGTACCTGCCTGGCTCCTCCCCCTCAACCCCTGCAGACGACCCCTGTGCCCCCTACCCACTCCCAGCCCCTGGACCCGAAGAGGCACCGCTGGGCAGGTGAGAAGGGCATGGGGCTCCTCCCCTTCTGGGTCTGGATGCAGAAAGGCTTTGCAGTTTTGGGAGATTTATGATCTTGGGGAAAGCATGACCTTGTTAGAAGTCATAACCTTTTGGGGAAATAATGCCATAACCTTTTGAGAAGTGGAAATCTCTATAACTTTTTGGGAAATGGCATTCATTACCATTTGGGAAAGTCAGGAATCTTCCCGAGAAGAGTTATAAACTCACTTTAGTCAACCTTCTCTCTGGTGGTAAATATCCACTAGTATTCATGCAAGGCAATTAGGCTTCTCAGTTGTTAAACTGATATACCTAGATAGCTCTTTGAACTGTTAGGGACAAAGATATGCCAGTGCAGAAAAACATATCTACAGCAGAGTTTCAGAAGTATTCTTTCAGTTGCCCCCCTCCAAAAATCTACTCTCCCTTAAAACATCTTGGTTTAAATGGTGCTCTCAAGAGACAAAAATAAACAGACTTTTAAAAAAAGTAACATAGTTGGTTTACTCACAAACTTCATGTATTCAGTATACAGGTACTTTGTGTATCAATCCAGTTACAGATAGGATTTGAAATAGTTTCTCTGTGCTGATAACACACGGCATCTTTCTCATAATCTACAGTCCATAGTCTGAAGCATCTCTCTGTTCTGAGAGTCTAATAGTCTTTGTCTAGTGTGGATATCCAATTGAGTCAGTTCTCTAAAGCATTCTGTTTCTACTAGCATCTAAGCTGTAGGGCTTCTATGTGTTGCCGAAGGCTTTCGTGGCCGGAATCACTGAGTCAGTCTGCAGCCCCTCCCATAACATAGAGTTAAGGAAAACTGCATACCAATACACACATATACAGTAAAGTAAGCAATCTGAATTATATACATAACAAAAAATGAGTATAGGAGGCTTGAAGAAGGTTGCTATTTCCAACAACAATGGTTTCAAGGGGACGTCTTCACCTGAGCTCAGGGCAGTAGGAGTTGGGAAGGAGAGTAGAAAAGAAGAGGGCCCATCCACAGTCACACTGGCCTTACAATCGCCTTTCCTTTCCCAGGCTGCCAAAAACCCGCTCCTTCGACAACCTGACCATGGCCTGTGACAGCGGCAGCCTCCCGCCCACCACTCCCCGCCGTAGCAGTGACCCCAGCCTCAACGAGAAGTGGCAGGAGCACCGCCGCACCCTAGAGCCAAGCAACCATTTTGGGGGGGAGGGCGACCCCTATGAGGGGGAGGCAGCGGGGCAGGGCCTAGTAGCGGAGGCGGAGCTCTCCTTGGCAGTGGCTGAGGGCCAGATGGAGAACATCTTGCAGGAGGCCACCGAAGAGGAGGAGGAAGAGGACAATGACGACTCAGAAGAGGTGGCGGGGGGCAAAGGTGGGGAGGCAGACTTGCAAGGCACACTGGGAAGCCCTGCTGAGAAGGTACCGGATGCCTTGGACGAGGAATTGGGCATCCACTCTGCCGGAACAAGCAACACGGAGGGGTCGACCGACACCTTAACTGAAATGGGGGCCAGGGTCAAGGCCCCAAGCGCATCCTTCTCGTGGCTGCGCCCAGAGGATGGCAATGGGGAGGAGGCATTGGAACTGCACCGCTTGGCCGCCACCCTCAACCGGACCCCTCCTTCCGCGCCTTCCCCATGCGCCTTGCCCTTGTGCGACTACAAGGAAGCTGTATGCAATGGCGAGGAGGCAGGCGAAGAGGGGGGGTGGAGGAGGAGGAGGGCCAAGGGTGCATTGAGCCGGCAGATGTCCGGCTCCGGACCAAGGTCCCTCTCCCACAAAGCATCACCGTCACCAAACAGCCCCGAGCAGCCTGCCCCCCGGAGCCACTTGGACGACGACGGGATGCCCGCCTACGCCGACGCCATCCAGCAGCGCCTACGGCAGATCGAGAGCGGGCACCAGCAGGAAGTGGAGACCCTCAAGAAGCAGCTGCAGGAGCTGCGCAGCCGCCTAGAGGGACAGCTCCTCAACGGCTCCCTCCACTGCAACGGCATGGAGTACGGCGACGAGGTGGTAAGTGCCCAATGAGGACTGGTGGGTTTGGGTGGCATCTTGATGGCTTTGGTTTTTGAGCTCAAGGCGACTCAGTAGGACTGACCATTTAGCAACCCCTCTCGTGAGGCTCCTCCTTTGCGTGCTCCCCTCACCTTCTTCCCATATTCTAATTTCTTCTCATCTGCTCTGCTGTTCATCTTCCTAGTCTGTCCTCTTCTCCCAACTCGTCTTCTCAGCCACCTCATTTCCTCTTTTCTGCACCTCACCCTCCTCACATCTCACTTCCTTCCTATCTTCTCACCTTCCCATCTTTTCCTCACCCATTTTCCTATCTACTCCACATCTCACCTACTTCCTATCTTCTCACCTTCTTCCTAACCTCCCATCTTTTCCCGTCTCCTCACCTTCTTCTCAACTTTGCCTCACCTGCTTCGTATTGTCAGGAATACTTTTCAAACAAAGGTTTTTTATTGCAATTTCTAGTGTGGGAGAGTAAATCAGAACTTTTATAGAACTTTTACACAAAAAAAGACATTAGACATACAGGTATTATGTAACTACATTGAATTCTCAAAGCTACAGTTACATTGGGGAATTACATATTTACTCATTTTTTCTCCTGCTGCCTCCTGGAGAAGATGCAGGGAATGCCCTAGATGTAGCATATCTGGCTTTCAGTAAGGTCTTCCTTAACAAGGTCCCCGATGACCTTCTGGCAAGGAAACCAGTCCAATGTGAGCTAGACAAAACTATGGTTAGGTGGATCTGCAATTTGTTAAGTGAACGAACCCAGAGGGTGATTCTCCCAAATGCTTCCTCTTTATCCTGGAAAGAAGTGATGAGTGGAGTGCCAGAAGCAGGGTTCCTTCCTGGGCCCAGTTCTGCTCAACATCTTTATTAATGACTTAGATGAAGGTTTAGAGGGCATGATCATCAAGTTTGCAGACAGGACCAAATTTGGAGGGATAGTCAGTACCCCTGAAGACAGGAACAGAATTCAAAACTATCTTAACAGATTAGAGAGATGATTGGCCAAAATGAACAAATGAAGTTGAACAGGGACAAACGCAAGATACTCCACTTAGGCAAGAAAAATGAAATGCAAAGATGCCTGGCTCGACAGCAGTACGTGTGAAAAAGTTCCTGGAGTCCTGGTGGACAACAAGTTAAACATGAACCAACAATGTGATGTGGTGGCTTAAAAAGCCAATAGAATTTTGACCTGCATTTTATTTATTTTGTATCAAAAGCATTGCATAAGTTATTATAAAACTGATAAAAATAGAAGTTGTGCAGGCGGCTAAATATCTTTTGACCAAAAACAGGCAACAGCAATGGCATTGTCTGTTGCCTCCAACAATTCCTCCACTGTACATGAGACAGGGCACAATGGACAAGCATACAGATGCAGAGTTGTCTGTTCTGCTCCACGGTCACACAAGGTATGGGATTCTTTTAGGTAGTGCCATTTTGCCAGGTTGTTTTTTGATCTGCCCAGAGACTTCCAGGTTGCCCATTCTTGGTTTGTCCCTGGAGGAAGACCCTCGTGGTGGGCCATCCAGTTGAGATTTTCTGATTTAGCTGCCCAGAGGGATACCCTTGCTGTTGCTGGAAGGACGCCAAGAGGAGTGGTAGTGTTCATAAAGCGTTGTCTTGATTTGAGTTTACTGGGAGGAGGCTGGTAGCCATGTAGTGGATGGCTTTCACAGTGTTCAACCTCATTTCTCTCACATTTAGCAGCAAATTCCCTTCGCACATCGGGGGGGGGGGGCAATGCCAACTAGCTTGTAGAGTTTATCAACAGGTGTAGGTTTAAGACATCCTGTTATTATTCTGCATGTTTCATTCAATGCTGCATTAATAGGAGTCTAGTGTCTAGATCCAGGGAAGTCATGCTATCCCTCTATTCTGCCTTGGTCAGACCACACCTGGAATCACACTGTGTTCAATTGTGACACCCCAGTTGAAGGGAGATGTTGACTCTTAGCTGGAATGCGTCCAGAGGAGGGTGATTAAAAGAATTGAGAGTCTGGAGAACAAGCCCTCTGAGGAACGGCTTAAAGAGCTGGGCATGTTTAGCCTGCAGAAGAGAAGGCTCTGAGGAGACATGATGATAGCCATGTATCCAGATGTATGGGGAAGTCATGGAGAGGAGGGAGCAGGCTTGTTTTCTTCTGCCCTGGAGACTTGGACACAATGGAACAACGGCTTCAAATGACAGGAAAGGAGATTCCACCCGAACATTAGGAAGAACTTTCTCACTGTGAGAGCTGTTAAGCAGTGGAACTCTCTGCCATGGACTGTGGTAGAGGCTCCTTCTTTGAAGGCTTTTAAGCAGAGGCTGGATGGCCATCTGTGGGGGGTGCTTTGAATGCCATTTTTTGCATCTTTGCAGAATGGGTTGTACTGAATGGCCCACAAGCTCTCTTCCAACTCTAGGATTCTATGATTCTAAGACATCTCTTAGGCATCCTGTTTCTCTAATCACACTCCTTTCTCTTCCCTTGAGAAAAGGAGGCCAAGTGTCCAAACTCCTGCTTTCCATTGCAGATCTCAGACTCTCCAATACACCATCACTTTCCATAGAGCAGGGGTCCTCAAACTTTTTGAACAGAGGGCCAGGTCACAGTCCCTAAAACTGTTGGAGGGCCGGATTATAATTTGAAAAAGATATGAATGAATTCCTATGCACACAGCACATATCTTACTTGTAGTGCAAAAAACATTTAAAAACAATACAATAATTAAAATGAAGGTCAATTTTAACAAATATAAACTTATTAGTATTTCAATGGGAAGTGTGGGCCTGCTTTTGGCTGATGAGATAGGATTGTTGTTGTTGTTGTTGTGTGCTTTCAAGTCGTTTCAGACTTGGGTTGATCCTGAGCGAGGGCCAGGTAAATGACCTTGGAGGGCTGTATCTGCCCCCCAGGCCTTAGTTTGAGGACCCCTGCCATAGAGTATGACGGGTGAACAGTGCCGCTGTCTGTTACAATTTTTGGAATATTAGAAGGTCTCATATAAAGCAATATTTTGCTGATGTTGTTCCAAAAAGCTGTAAATGAATGATAGATGTTTTTCCAGCCTGAAACATCCTAGCTTCATCTCAGTTTCCTGGCAGATGTTGACTTTGCATAATTGGTGTTGGTAAACACAAGCAGCTCTGTGTTGACTTCCTTCTTAACATAAGGAATCTTGTAAACTTTTCCTTAACTTAAAGAGCCATTGTCTTTGACTAATGTAAACACATTTTCCCCCAAAAGTTCAACAGTTCAGCAATGTCAACAGTTAATCATTTGTCACAGTTCTCGTCAGCAACTTTTAATTATAGTTCATCGAGCAGGTAGCTAATGATTTAGCCATTGCATACCCACACTTATTTCATCATGACACTATCTTCTCACTTTCTTTCCACCTATTCTTCACATATCTCCTTACTTTCTTCCTTTCTTCACCTTCTTCCTAACCTCTCATATTTTCCTGTCTCCTCACCTTCTTCTTGACTATTGCTCACCCATTTCCTTACTTTCTTCCTCTCTTCACCTGCTTCATAACCTCTCCTCTTTTCCCATCTCCTCCCCTTCTTCCTGCCTTTGCCTTTCCCCTTCTCTGCTCCTCGCCTATCTTATCCACCTTCTTCTCTGGGTGCTCCTCAGCTGTGTTTGTTTGCCAACAGACCTCATTCCCTGACTTGGAAAGCAATCTGGACCCGAGCTGCCTGCCTCGCTGCAGCACAGAGCTTTTCTCTGAAGCCAGCTGGGAGCAGGTGGATAAGCAGGACTCCGAGGTACAGGCCTCCCTCCCTCTCTGCCCACTGGCTCCCCTCATCCTCCTTGTGACTAATGACGCGTTCCTGCCTCCCCTCCTCCTCCTCTTTTGTAGCTCAGCAAGCGGCAGAGGATTTTTCTGACATGTCGGAGGACGAAGGGTTTGATAGGTTTCAAAGTGATGAGTCTGTCAATGGAAGGAGAGACTTGCAGGCAGATGAGGACAATGTTTTACGTTCCGGTGATCATTCCCGGAATGATCACCGGAATTGGGGAAAGTGAAAATGTGAAAGGTTAATTTCTCTTAAGAAATTGTCTTTGGCTGATAGGGAGTTTTCCTGAGAAGCCAAATTAGGTTTGAGAATGGAGGGAGTGAAAAATAGATTATTTAGAAGTTCTGATATAATCCGTGAGAAGGCTTTGAAGCCCAGGTACATTTGGCATGATCTCATGGCTGCTTGGTCAGGCTTAAATTAGGTGGTGTTGGCTTTATGCCTCTCAGAGGAGACAACGGTGCTGAAAAGGATGGCATCCTTGTCTTGGCTCTCAAGTTCATGATTCAAGTTTCCTGTTTTGGTTCATGCCTTTGTTCCTTGGAGAGTTTGCCTTAGAAAAAGTTCCTGTTTTCTGGGTCATGGATTTATTTTTGAAGTACTGCTGTGGATTTTGATTCTCTTGACCTTATGTGTTTTGTCATTTTTGGATTACTGCTATTTTGTATTTTCTGTTCTTCTGACCCTTTTGGAATTGCGCTTTTATCCCTTTGTACCTGCTTTCTTTAGTAAACATTTTTAGATAGTACTACTGGACTCTGGTGTGGTGCTGGATGAAAAGGTGTTTCAGTGCCAGACTGCAATGTCCTTCTCTTCCTCCTCCCTCTTGCCCTTGCTCCCCCATTTGGGATCCTGCCATACCTCATGCCTTCTCTACACTGGCAAGCTCCTGTTGTAGCCTGGCAAGCATCACAGGATTTTTCTGAATGTTCAGAGGATGAGAATGATGGGTTTCAAAGTGAAGAGTCTGTGCAGGCAGGCAAAGCTGATGCTTTGGATTCTTCAACTTGTTCTCGGGCAACGGGAAAATGAAAATACCAGATGCCTAGAGAAACTGCCTTAGGAAGGCAAGGAATTTTCAAGGGGGAATAGATCTGAGATTGCGGAGAATGAAAAGCCAGCAAACTAGATATTCTCAGAGAATTCTAGATAAGGCCCAGAGGTCCAGATGTGTTAGGCATGATGTCATGGGTTCCTTAGAGGGCTTAAGTTAAGTGGTTTGGCTTCAGGCTTTTCAGAGGAGACAGCGTTGCTAAAGCAGATTGGTTTCCTGTTTAAGATCCCAAGTTCCTGTGCATGTCTGGTCAAGATTCCTGTTTCATGTTCCTGTTTTATGCCTGTGTTTCTTTGGAGAATTTACCTTGGAGAAGTTCCTGTTTTCATGTTCATGGATATAACTTTGGATTAATTCTGTGGTTTTGGATTTCTTGGCTTGGTGTTTCCTGGCATTTGTGGATTACTGTTACTGAACTCTGGCTTCTTTTGAGAATTGCATTTTCTATTGTACTGACCCTTTTGGATTTGCCTTTTCACTTTTTTATATCTTTGAGGGTGGATCAAAAAGTAATGCCTCCATCTGTCTAACTTTTATTTCTTTCACAGCTACTGGACTATCTGTGCATGATATGATAGAGGTAACTTTACTCTATTGATATAGTCTGACTGATTAGAACCATGAATCTGAAGCTAATTATTATTATTATTTATTTATCGTGTCAGAAGCAAATTAAGAATACAGTTATAATTTATAGAAAAACAACAACTTGGCATTATGCTCAATTTCCTTTGACCAGAAGCTGGCCACTTGGACTGCCTCTGGTGTGGCTGTGAGAAGGTCCTCCACTGTGCATGTGGCAGGGCTCAGGTTGCATTGTAGTCAGTGGTTTACTCTTCTCCACACTCGCATTTTGTAGCCACGTTTGGACTCCATTTTGTAGCCACGTTTGGACTCTCGCTTGCTGAGGTGTTCCTGCGAGTATTTCTGTAGATCCTAGGAAGCTGTTTCTTGATTTAAGACGTTGGCATGCTGACTGATATCTGAACAGAGGATGGGCCAGAGACGTCAATGCCTTGGTCCTTTCATTTCTGGCTGCTACTTCCCAACAGATGTCAGGTGGTGCAATACTGGCTAAACAATATAACGTCTCCAGCAGTATTGGGTGTTGACATCCTGTGACAATGTGGCATGTCTCATTAAGGACCACATCCACTGTTTCAATGTGGTGAAATGTATTCCACACTGGGCATGCGCGTTCAGCAGCAGAGTAGCAAAGTGCAAGGGCAGATGTCTTCACTGTGATGCCCAGGTTGTACCAGTCAGCTTCGGTATGGTGTTATTTCTAGCACCCACTTTTTGCTTGATATTCAAGCAGTGCTTCTTGTAAGTCAGAGCACAGTCCAGGTCAACTCCCAGAGCTCGAGATGCTTGTCTGTTCTTAAGGTGAAAAGTACATGCCTGCATTTTAGTTGGATTAGGAATCAGCTGGTTTTCCCTGTAATAGACAGTAAGGGCACCTAAAGCTTTGGAAAGCTTCTGTTCAACCATTTCAAAGCTCCCTGATTGAGTGGTGATGACACGATCATCACCATAGGTGAAATTCACTATCCCTTCTGGTGTGGCTGGTCATTTGTGTAAATGTTGAACATAGATGGAGCAAGCACACTCCCCTGAGGCAGGCCTGAATTAAACAATGGCACAAATGTGTACAAATGGATGGTGACTATGTTGACTATGGTAGTTTTGTGTAGAGGACAGTTCAGGATACGATCTGTAGCAACTTCTGCTATTATAGGTTCATTCATCATGTTTCTATGACACAGGAGGCAAAACGTTTTGACCCACCCTTGTACTTTTCTTTAATCAACATTCTTTTAGTGGATCACTGGTCTCTGATGTCGTGCTGGGTGAAAGGGTGTTCCAGTGCTGGAGTGCAGTAGCACCTGCTTCTCTGTCGCTGCCACTTCCTTCCTTCCTCCCTCCTTCCAGTCCCTTCTCTGGCTTGACTGTTCCCTTTCCTTGCTCCGCAGGTGACCCGGTGGCTGCCCGACCACCTGGCCGCCCATTGCTACGGCTGTGACAGCGCCTTCTGGCTCGTCAGCAGGAAACACCACTGCAGGTAATGTATTGTGTCTCTCTCAACTGAAGTGGCTTTTGGAAAGGCATCACCTTTTTAGAGATCATAACCTTTTGGAAAAGCACAATCTCCATAACCTTTTGGAGAATAATGGCATTCAGGACCATTTAAAATCACAACCTTTTGTAAAAGTATAGTCAGAGAAGAACCAAAAACTTGCTTGAGTAAAATCTTCTCTTTAGTGTTATATATCACACAGGCCTATGCAAGGCAATTTTGTTTTTCAGTTGTTAGACTGATAACCTAGTTGTCTCTGATCTGTTAAGTACAGAGATTAGGCCAATGCACAAAATATAGCAGTTCTTTAGAAGTGTTTCTTTCAGTGCCCAAAAACATCTACTCTCCCTTAAAATGTCATTTTTCTATATCATGCTCTCAAGAGACAAAAATAAGGTAGACTTTGTTAAAAGTAACATAACCAGTTTACTCACTACCTTCATGTATTCAGCATACAGGCACATAACTTGTCACTCCAGTTACAGGTTCTCTGGTCTGAAAGTCTAATAGTGTCTCTGTACAGTCTGAAAGTCCAGTGGAGTCCTTACAGTCTTCTGTTTCTACTGACTTCTTTTTTTTTTTTTTTTTAATAAATTTTTATTAGTTTATCACAATTATTACATACTATTGCATTTTCTACATCAACCTCTTTAACATGTTATTTTGTTGTTTTGCTTTGACATTCCTCCCCTTTTTTTTTTTTTTTCCCCACCTCCGTGCTCCCCTCCACCCGTTTCAAGCCACATTTCTTACATTTCATCAGTCCAAAATTTCATTTCTTCTTGTGACGGTAACTTTCCTTCCTTGTTTTTTAAACCATTTACAACAAATTTTCCCCAAACAGCATCAAAGTCGCTTTGTTTCCATATACCTTTTTTAACCTTTAATATAAGGTTAAAGGTTTGCTATTTTCCATGCTTCCTTATACCACTCCTCTATTTGTATATTCATTTCTTTTTTCCAATTCCTTGCTATGAGCAGTCTTGCTATAGTTAATAAGTTTGTTATCGCTTCTTTATCCTCCTTTTTCAATTGCTTATTGGTATATAATGATAGTAAGGCTATACTAGGACTTTTATCTATTTTCATATTCATTATAATTTCTATTTCTCTAAATACTTTCTCCCAAAAATTATTTACATATTTACATTGCCACCACATATGTATATATGTTCCTGGTTCTTGACACCCTCTCCAACAATTTGTTGAATTATTCTTATTCATATATGCTATTCTTACCGGTGTTAAGTACCACTTCCATACTAGCTTATAATAATTTTCTTTAACTCGTATCGATAAATTTTTTAAATGTCTTTGTCCCCATAACTGTTGCCACTCTATTTCGCTTATTTTTATCCCTAAATCCTCTTCCCAAATCTCCTTAAGGGTACACTTTTTTATTTTTCCATCCCTCATTTCAATTAGTATCTTATAGATTTTGCTAATTATGCCTCTCAAGTTTTCATGTTCTTCTACCGCCCTTCCCTTCTGTATTATTTGTTCGAATTGATTAAGTTGGCCTCCATTTCTGTTATTCTTTTTCCAATTTATTAACCATTGTTCTAATTGTATACAGTGAAACCATGATAATTTTATTTCTTTAAACTCTTCCAACATCCTTTCCCTCTTCATTTCCACTTTCATCCAATCCCCTATTCTATCTAAATTTATTTCCCTTACCTTTTTATCCATTACTTTTTTTAAATTTTTTGGGAATTTCTTTTCCATCACTATTGGGGTAATAATTGATCCTTCCTTTATTAACCTCCCCTTGTACTTATTCCATACTTTCAGTATGTTGCTCAACATTGGGTTTCTAATTTCCTTCAATTCTGTTCTAGTAAGCTGTTTAAAAAATATATTCCAGGTTTCATCTTCCACTTTTCCTGAATCATTACTAAGCCAGTCTATTCCCTTTTTTTAACCATTCCTTCTATAACCAGATTTAATCTACTTGCTTCATAATATTTTTTTATATTAGGTAATGCTAGTCCACCCTCCTTTTGCAATCTATACCATATTTGTTTATTTAGTCTATTTTTCTTACTTCCATTGCAGTACTTATTAATCATTTGTTGCCATCTAGTTAGTTCTTCCTCTGTGATTTGAAGTGGTAGCATCCTAAATATAAAATTTATTTTTGGAAGTATTTTCATTTTTACTAATGCTATTCTTCCAAACCAGGATAAATGTATACCTTCGTACTCTATTAACTTTTTCTGAACTTCTTTTCTTAAAGTTACTACATTTTCTTCCTCTATCTCTTTTAAATCTTTAGTTATTATTACTCCCAAATATTTTAATTTATTCTTAATTCTTATTCCCGTTTTTCTTTGTTCTATGATTTTTTCTTCTTCTTCTCTTGTATAATTGAGTAGCATCATTTCTGACTTATTCCAATTAACTTGTAAACCCGTTGCTTTCCCAAATGTCTCCAAATGTTCTTTTATTCTATCTATTTTCTCCACTATATTTTCTATAAATAACAATGTATCGTCGGCAAATAAGCTCACCTTCTGTTTCTACTGACTTCTGAAAGCATACTATTTCTACTGGTGTCTAAACGGTACTGTTTCTAAAATGGAGTCTGAGTCCTGAATACCAGATCTGATCACATAGTCTGAAGCGCCTCCCACAGCATAGAGTTAAGGAAAACTGCATACCAATACACACATACACAATACAGTAAGCAATCTGAATTATATACATAACAAATAATTAGTGGAGGCTTGAAGAAACTTGCTATTTCCAACAGTTTCCTTACTTCCTGTGTGTTTGCAGGAACTGTGGGAATGTCTTCTGCTCCAGCTGCTGCAACCAGAAGGTCCCAGTGCCCACCCAGCAGCTCTTTGAGCCCAGCCGTGTCTGCAAGGCCTGCTACTCCGGCCTCGGCCCTGACAACAAGCCTGTTGCCACCCACTCAAACTGAATGAAGGGGGCATGAGGCGTCATGGCCACTGCAGAAAGACCTGGAAGACTGTCATTTTGAAATGGATTTTGCTGGAACCTGGAGGTCGCTGATTGTTGTCGTTGCTGCTGCTGCTGCTGCTGCTAGGGACCTACATAGAAGACAAAATGGAAGCTGCCTTCTTCTCAAAGGAACCGAACCCTCCTCCTCCTCCTCTCTCAAAATGGCCGACGCGAGGGCTCGGGGGGGACCTCTGAAGCGGAAAAATGGCGTTTAGTTTATTTATTCTCAGTTTTTCTTATTATTATTATTCATTATCCAGATAAGAGAAAAGTCCCATTTTTTTAAAAAAAATCTTAATATCCTTCAATAATTTTTTTAAATCCCCATTTTAAATATCAGGATCCATTTTTTATATAAATATATATTTAAATATATATACACACACATACATTTAAATATATATTTAAGACATAATGAAGAATTTGGAATATGATACAAAATTGAGATGAGGAAAGAATTTTGTATATTTTGAGGAGAATTTTGTATATTTCGAGGAGGATGTGCCAAGAATATATCTATATTCCGATTACGGGTCTTTTAATTATTATTATTATTTTCTGGAGGGTAAATGTGTGAATAGAGCAAACTATGGCTTGCGACTCTCTCTTTTTCCAACAGATGAAGCACTTTTTACAAATATATTTCGTTTTTCTTCTTTATATGTAAAGCAGGAAAGAATAGCTGTGTGTATATGTATGTATGTATATAATATCAAAAAAACAACCTGTCCCAAAAGGCGGAGTTTGCTTCTTTATATTTGTCATTTTTTTCCTCTTTGTCAAACAAGCATTACGTTACTTTAGAATGTTTCGATATATATATATGAATTTTTAAAAAGTGAAATAAAGTTTAGACTGTGGGGTTTTGTTTTTGTTTTTGCATGGGAGACAATTGTTGGTCTTCTTCCACCAATTAATCCTCTTATCAAACCAATTATAAAAATGGAAAATTTTAAAATAATAATAATAAATATTCATCAAAATAATCAGAAAAATAATGGAAAAATCATAAAAATATTCACTAAAAATGAAAATGGAAAAATGTAAATTATACTTAAATATTCATCAAAATAATCACAAAGATAATAGAAGAATCAAAATAATAAAAATTACTAAAATAATAAAAGAATTATGGAGGAAAATGAAACAATAACAAATATTCACCAAAATAATTACAAAGATAATGGGAAAAATCAAAATAATGAGAAATATTCTCCAAAATAAATGTTTGTATGTGTGTGTGTGTGTAATATAAAAAACAACTTCTCCCAAAAGGTGGAGTTTTCTCCTTTATATTTGTCATTTTCCCCCTCTTTGTCACAAAAGCGATATATTACTTTAGAATGTCTGTCTCTCTCTCTCTCTCTCTCTCTCTCTCTCTCTCTCTCTCTCTATATATATATATATATATATATATATATATATATATATATATAATTATCTCCCATGCAAAAAACACCCCTCTCTAAACTTTATTTCACCTTTTAAGGACACACACACACATATATATATGAGAATGTTTAAAAAGTGAAATAAAGTCTAGAAGGTGGTGTTTTGCATGGGAGATAATTGTTGGTTTATTTCCACCAATTAATCCTTTCATTTCTTCATATTTTGCACATTATTATTATTATTATTAGTCTTCATTATAAGCAGAGTCTGATTACTCTAAAGACTGCCAGACAGGCACCGACAAGATAACAAACAGCAGAGAAGTGAAGTGAAGCAGAGAAGAGCCCCTCTTCTCTCAATAATTCTCTCCCGAGGACTCTGCCAGTCAGACCCGGCAGGGGAAAGAAAGGAGTTGGAGCCTATTTTATTTATTAAATCTTGCTGACGGTCTCAGCGTCCTCCATCTGTTCCCTGCACAACCAGTTCACCTGGTTAAATGTTAAATAGCACCCTGCACATTCCACATTTTCCTAGTTTCCAACAGACCTCACAACCTCTGAGGATGCCTGCCATAGATGCAGGCGAAACATCAGGAGAGAGTGCTTCTGGAACATGGCCATACAGACCGGAAAACTCACAACCCAGTGATTCCGGCCATGAAAGCCTTCAACAATGCAGGCTTCTAATTGGTTTTTAAATGTTTGTTTATTTTTAATAACGTTGGCATTTAATTTTAATTCTTGTGTGTCTATGGGTTTCAAATTATATCCTGCGTTGCTTTTATTGTCTCCTTTTAAAAGAGATAAAGCGGTACAGAAATAATGACGATGACAACGATAACAACAACAAAACTCTGTAAATAGTGAGGCAACCCTTGCGACCTTGCCCTTTGATCCCTGGCATTGTCAGATTGGGCACTGAAGGTCAAAGAGGAGACACTAGAGCAGGCCAAAGAGACTGGCAGAATTATTGGTATTATAAAAGAATAATAATAATAATATATTACATTATATAATTATATTTATTTAAATATATTTATACCATATATGCATAAAAAGGTAAACGTAGTCCCCTGACATTAAGTCCAGTCATGTCTGACTCTGGGGTGTGGTGCTCATCTCCATTTCTAAGCCGAAGAGCCAGCCTTGTCCGTAGACACCTCCAAGGTCATGTGGCCGGCATGACTGCATGGAGCGCCGGAGCGGTACCTATTGATCTACTCACATTTGCATGTTTTCGAACTGCTAGGTTGGCAGAAGCTAGGGCTGACAGCGGAAGCTCACGCCGCTCCCAGAATCGAACCTGTGACCTTTCGATCAACCAGCTCAGTGCTTTAACCCACTGTGCCACTGGGGCCCCCCATATATGCATAGATTATATATTATTGTAAAATAATTACATATTATTATAATATAACAAAATAACAGAAATGTACGCAACACTGAAAAACAATATATAAACACACAGAGAGAATTATAATAATATATTGAGGCCACTGTTAATTTTTTTTAAATAATTTTTATTGATTTATCACATTTATTACATACTATTGCATTTTGTACATCAGCCTCTTTAACATGTTGTTTTATTATTTTGCTTTAAAATCCCCCCCCCCCTTTTCTCTTTTTTTCCCTTTTTATCACCACAGTGCTCCCCTCCACCCGTCTCAAGCCACCATTCTTACATTTCATCTGTCCAAAATTTCATTTCTTCTTGTGACGGTAATTTTCCTTCCTTATTTTTTAATCCATTTACCACAAATCTTCCCCATACAGCATCAAAATCGCTTTGTTTCCATATACCTTTTTTAACCTTTAATATACATGTCAATTTATCATTTATTGCTATTTTCCATGCTTCTTTATACCACTCCTCTATTTGTATATTCATTTCTTTTTTCCAATTCCTTGCTATAAGCAGTCTTGCTATAGTTAGTAAGTTTGTTATCGCTTCTTTATCCTCCTTTTTCAATTGCTTATTGTTATATAATGATAGTAAGGCTATACTAGGACTTTTATCTATTTTTATATTCATTATAGTTTCTATTTCTCTAAATACTTTCTCCCAAAAATTATTTACATATTTACATTGCCACCACATGTGTATATATGTTCCTGGTTCTTGACACCCTCTCCAACAATTTATTGAGTTATTTTTATTCATATATGCTATTTTTACCGGTGTCAAGTACCACTTCCATATTAACTTGTAATAGTTTTCTTTAACTCGTATCGATAATTTTTTTAAATGTCTTTGTCCCCATAATTGTTGCCACTCTATTTCGCTTATTTTTATCCCTAAATCTTCTTCCCAAATCTTTAAGGGTGTTCTTTTTTATTTTTCCCTCCTTCATTTCAATTAATATCTTATAAATTTTGCTAATTATACCTCTCAAATTTTCGTGTTCTTCTACAGCCCTTCCCTTCTGTATTATTTGTTCGAATTGATTGAGTTGGCTTCCATTTCTATTATTTTTTTTCCAGTTTATTAACCATTGTTCTAATTGTATACAATGAAACCATGACAATTTTATTTCTTTAAACTCTTCCAACATCGTCTCCCTCTTCATTTCCCCCTTCATCCAATCCCCTATCCTATCTAAATTTATTTCCCTTACCTTTTTATCCATTACTTTTTTTAAAAAAATTGGGAACTTCTTTTCCATCACTATTGGGGTTATAATTGATCCCTCCTTTATTAACCTCCCCTTATATTTATTCCATACTTCCAGTATGTTACTCAGCATTGGGTTTCTAATTTCCCTCATTTCTTTTCTAGTAAACTGTTTAAAAAATATATTCCAAGTTTCATCTTCCACTTTTCCTGAATCATTACTAAGCCAATCTATTCCCTCTTTTTTAACCATTCCTTCTATAACCAAACTTAATCTACTTGCTTCATAATATTTTTTTATATTAGGTAGCGCTAGTCCACCCTCCTTTTGCGATCTGTACCATAACTGTTTATTTAGTCTGTTTCTTTTACTTCCATTACAGTACTTATTAATCATTTGTTGCCATCTAGTTAGTTCTTCTTCTGTAATTTGAAGTGGTAGCATCCTAAATATAAAATTTATTTTTGGAAGTATTTTCATTTTTACTAATGCTATTCTTCCAAACCAGGATAAGCGTATACCTTCGTACTCTATTAACTTTTTCTGAACTTCTTTCCTTAATGTTACTACATTTACCTCCTCTATCTCTTTTAAATCCTTAGTTATTATTACTCCCAAGTATTTTAATTTATTCTTAATTCTTATTCCCATTTTACTCTGTTCTATAAAATCTTTTTCTTCTTCTCTTGTATAATTAAGTAGCATCATTTCTGACTTATTCCAATTAACTTGTAAACCCGTTGCTTTCCCAAATATCTCCAAATGTTCTTTTATTCTATCCATTTTCTCCACTATATTTTCTATAAATAACAATGTATCATCAGCGAATAAGCTCACCTTCTGTTTCTCCTTTTTTCCTAACCCTTCCAAATTTTTATCGTTCCTTATGCTATTAGCAAACAGTTCTATCACCATAGCAAATAGTATCGGAGACAAAGGGCACCCTTGTCTAGTTCCTCTAGTCACTTTTATTTCGTTTGTCACTCCGTCATTTATAGTTACCACTGCTGAGTTCCTTGAGTAAAATTGTTTTAGTACTCCTTTTATTCTATTTCCCATTCCAAATTTATTCAATATTTCCCTTAATGTCTCCCATTCCACACAATCGAAAGCTTTAAAAATATCTAATGATAATATCCCTGCTTTTTCCTTCCCCTCTTTAGCCCAATGAATTTTATTTCATACTCTCCCTATCAAATTTGACATTTGTCTTCCTTTTACAAACCCGTACTGATCTTCTTTTATGTACTTATACATGCATTTATTCATTCTATTGGCTATTATCGTGGACAATATCTTTGCATCCTGATTAATTAATGATATGGGCCTATATGACCCTGGGTCTGTTAAGTCTTTATCAGGTTTAGGTATTAATATTATTAATGATCTCCTCCATGATTCGGGTATATTATCTCCCTTCATTATTCCATTATACAATTCTAATAATTTTGGGGTTAAAACTTCTCTAAAGCTTTTATAGTATTCTGTCCCTAGACCATCCAAGCCTGGAGCTTTCCCTACTTTTAATTTCTTAATAACTTCCTCTATTTCTTTTTTCTTAATAGGTTGTTCCAGTAACTCTTTATCTTTCTCCTCCAACTTACTCTCCCAATTTTCCTCCATGTATTTCCTAATTGCCTCTATGGGGCTTGCTTTGGTTTGATATAGTTCTTTATAAAATTCTTCAAATACTTTCAATTTTTCTTTCATAGCTCTACATAATTTACCTGTTTTATCTTTTATCGTATTTATCATTCCTTCCATTTTCTTTTTCTGTGTTGATTTGGCTAGCATCTTTGAATTCCTATCACTAAACTCAAAATATTCCCTCCTTAAATAAATTAAATTTTCTTG